TTTTTTGGGGGGGGGGGGATACGCTAACGTTTCAAATTTACACATGGTGTTGCAATGTCTGCTTTGTTCATTTATATGTTAATCTCATTACCCCCCCCCCTTAAAACTGTTTTCTTCTGTAATTGTTCATTTCTGCTAGTTTGTTACCAACAGCTGTTGAACCTGTACCAACAGCTGTTGAGCTTTTTGTTACTCTGTTAATAGCGCCCTCTAGTAACAACTACTGGTTTTGCATCAAAATAAGTCATGTTTATAGATGAGTACACGAGTTTCTTGCAAATATTTGACCGTCAAAACCATTTGGGCTCAAAGGAGGTCAACCACGTTTACTATTTGGGTTGTTATTTCCAACTAACAGAAAGCGTCATGAGTTCCAGTGAAATCCAGAAATAACATTGAACTCACGTAGACAGTATTGTGAGATCGAATCAATTAGTAACATCTGTTGCTGCAAAGAATGATTCCATAAATGAATGAACACGACTAGTCTGCCACCTGCTGGACAACCATTAGGATCTATGGAAAGTAGTCGCAAGGGACGAGAATAACTACTCTGATTAGCGTGCTGTACTGTGCATCTGAAGGTCCACGGTTCGCGTCCCGTTGAACAAAAAAATTTGCTATCCGCACTTGAAGGCCATGGGTAGGTTATAAGAGTGACAGTAAAAATCCATCTATTCGATTAGTCCTAAAGTTAGCAGTAAGTGATATTAATTTCCCCCTAATCCAGGGGGTTTCTAACTTGTGGTGCGTGAGAAGCTTTGAAAAACATTAACAAGAAAATTAACTTCACAATTCGTGTATTGGAGGTGATTTATCAAGGTATTCCACTAGCCACTACTGACAGTTCATGTACTGGAGGTGATTTATCAAGGTATTCCACTAGCCACTACTGACAGTTCATGTACTGGAGATGAGTTATCAAGGTATTCCACTAGCCACTACTGACAGTTCATGTACTGGAGGTGAGTTATCAAGGTATTCCACTAGCCACTACTGCTAGCTCACACTTGAATTATTTCTTGGCGTTTTTTGTAACAAATTATCGGCATCAAGGGGTGGGGGTTGGGGTGACACAGCATGAAACATTTTGAATCACTAATTATAGGCATCAAGGGGTGGGGGTTGGGGTGACACAGCATGAAACATTTTGAATCACTAATTACACTAATCAACAATAAAAACATTTAAAACTTAATTCGATGGAAGATAGTATCCAACTTCACTGTTGTTGTTTTTTTATTTCAGGAGCTGATCTCTGGAACTTATATCCAACCTAAAACCAACAACAGTGGAGATCACATCCTGAAATATAAGTTGGATATAAGTTCCAAAAACCAACAACAGTGAAGTTCCAGAGATCAGCTCCTGAAATAATAGCCAACTTCACTGTTGTTGGTTTAATATTTCAGGAGCTGATCTCTGGAACTTATAGCCAACTTCACTGTTGTTGGTTTAATATTTCAGGAGCTGATCTCTGGAACTTATAGCCAACTTCACTGTTGTTGGTTTAATATTTCAGGAGCTGATCTCTGGAACTTATACCCAACTTCAATGTTGTTGGTTTAATATTTCAGGAGCTGATCTCTGGAACTAATAGTCAACCTCACTGTTGTTGGTTTTTTATTTCAGGAGCTGATCTCTGGAAATAATAGTCAACCTCACTGTTGTTGTTTTTTATTTCAGGAGCTGATCTCTGGAACTTATGCCCAACTTTACTGTTGTTGGTTTAATATTTCAGGAGCTGATCTCTGGAACTAATAGCCAACCTCACTGTTGTTGTTGTTTTTTTTATTTCAGGAGCTGATCTCTGGAAATAATAGTCAACGGTGTTGTGAATGTCAACCATTTACCAAACTTCAACTGGATGTTAGAAATGGCAGAAGCGGCGAATTTGACGATTCGAAATAAATACGATCCAGTTTATCCTAATCAGTCCCTGAACATCGACGTAAAACTGATGGACAATATAAACCAAACGACGGTTCTTAAAGAAATAATCAAATATCCACGTGGTGTCACCATATTTGCTGCGGTCTGCTGTATTATATTCATTATTACTGGGTTGCTAGGTAACCTCCTCACAATCCTCGCCCTCTGCCGGAGTGTGAAGCTGAGAAATGCCACCACAGCTTTTGTAGTCAGCCTTTGCACAGCCGACTTTTTATTTTGTGCGATCAACTTACCCCTAACGGCGTCGAGATACATACACCAATCTTGGTTGCTAGGAGAAACGATGTGCTCTTTGTTTCCATTTTTCTTCTATGGTAACGTTGGCGCCTCCTTGATGTCCATGACTCTGATTACCATCAATAGGTAAGTTTAAAAACTGTAAATTTTGTTTCCACGTTTCCTACTCCTTTTAAGCTTTAACTCCTGTAGCAATTCCACAGTAAACCTTCACGAAGGAGCACCCTCCTCGGAGGACCTGTATTGATGAAGGAGACAATTTAATTAATGGTTAAGATGTCACTGTAATATTGTTGGTTAAGATGTCACTGTAACATTGTTGGTTAAAATATCTCTGTAAACCTGTTGGTTAAGATGTCACTGTAACATTGTTGGTTAAGATGTCACTGTAACATTGTTGGTTAAAATATCTCTGTAAACCTGTTGGTTAAGATATCACTGTAAAACTGTTGGTTAAAATATCTCTGTAAAACTGTTGGTTAAGATGTCACTGTAAAACTGTTGGTTAAAATATCTCTGTAAACCTGTTGGTTAAGATGTCACTGTAAAACTGTTGGTTAAGATGTCACTGTAACATTGTTGGTTAAAATATCTCTGTAAAACTGTTGGTTAAGATGTCACTGTAAAACTGTTGGTTAAGATGTCACTGTAACATTGTTGATTAAATATAATGTCAATCATAATTTTAATGTCTTGCTTCTAGTGCACAAGGAGTATTTGAATTTTATATAACCCTAACTCGTGAGGTTATCTACGAGTTTACGTTGCTGGAGCATATTGCGTATATCTGTACTAACCCTAACTCGTGAGGTTATCTACGAGTTGACATTGCTGGAGCATATTGCGTATATCTGTACTAACCCTAACTCGTGAGGTTATCTACGAGTTGACATTGCTGGAGCATATTGCGTATATCTGTACTAACCCTAACTCGTGAGGTTGTCTACGAGTTGACATTACTGGAGCATATTGCGTATATCTGTACTAACCCTAACTCGTGAGGTTGTCTACGAGTTGACATTGCTGGAGCATATTGCGTATATCTGTACTAACCCTAACTCGTGAGGTTATTTACGAGTTCACATTGCTGGAGCATGTTGCGTATATCTGTACACGAATGTTAGCAAAAGAACGACACCTGGTAAATAAAAATGTATCTAACGTGGAAAATGGAAGAAGTTTAATTTTAAAAAAGCAACAAAATAGTCCGTTGTATTAAATTGATGATATCGTGTTTTTCAAGCACTCGGTATTTCTTTCTGTTTCTGAGGGTATCACACAAGAGAGAAATTGTAATGTGAAGGATTCCAATAAAATATATTTCATGGAAGATCTCATAATGTATTATATATGTGTGTACAAATCCTCACCCGTTGTCATTATATTACAGAACGTATTATATGTGTGTACAAATCCTCATCCGTTGTCATTATATTACAGAACGTATTATATGTGTGTACAAATCCTCATCCGTTGTCACTATATTACAGAACGTATTATATGTGTGTACAAATCCTCACCCGTTGTCACTATATTACAGAACGTATTATATATGTGTGTGTAATATAATGACAACGGGTGAGGATTTGTAGAACGTATTATATATGTGTGTACAAATCCTCACCCGTTGTCATTATATTACAGAACGTATTATATGTGTATGTGTGTACAAATCCTCACCCGTTGTCATTATATTACAGAACGTATTATATGTGTATGTGTGTACAAATCCTCACCCGTTGTCACGATATTACAGAAACGAGTTGAAACGGAAGTTGCTATGACAACGTAACATTGTTTCAAATTGATAATTTTATTATAAATAAAACCGACACGACAATTTAAAGTTTTTGTGATTTGGTTCTTTATACAACTATCCGATCTTAAGAAAGACTAAGAAGTATTGATAACTTTTACTGCTGTTATTGTGTTTCAAACAAGGCCTAAACTTGCCAAACTAAAACATTTATTAGGTAAGGTTTAATTTTTGAGTGTTTTTCATAAGTCGTTTGCCTTGTTCTAACAACTGCCTCACAGACTAATTCAGTTTCATTACGTGTAGGTTCATCTTGATCAACCATCACAATCTGTACGATAAAGTCTACCGGAAACACTACGTGGCTCTGATGGTCATCTTCAGCTGGATATTTAGCTTTTCAATGCTGATACCTACCTTAGCGAGTACCTGGGGAAAATTTGGTTTGGACGAGGAGACTTTTTCGTGTACCATTTTAAAACGCAACGGTCGTTCTCCCAAAAAGTTCTTATTCATTTTGGGTTTTCTGATTCCTTGTATCGTGATAATAGTTTCCTATTCCTGCATTTTTTACAAGGTAATCTTTCTTTTTTTTATTATTTGTCCCTGAGGATAAATATTTATTTAAAATTTCCATTCTCACTGATTTTAGGGTGTCTTTAATTTTCAGTGTTCAGACGATCTTTTAAACGTGCTGTTCAACATGGCTGCCAAATGTTGACATTTTTCCTCGAGGAGAGACTATTTATTTCAACTTTTACAAAGTCTTGCAACATATAAAATTCACATAAAATGTACAGGACTTGTTTCCTTCTCATGGCTTTACGCGAACAACCAGAGATAAATCTGGAACCCTCTTTTTTTGTGTGCAATAAATTGGTTTTAATATTCATGTCAATCAGTAACCGTAAATTAATTTTTGTCACTTCTTTCAACACCTTATTAATAAGAGTACGTTATGAAGTTTCCACTTGATGAACTTAATGTTTATGTACAATCAACAGTTTATTTTACTCCATAAAGATTAGATTTGTTGTTATCTTTTTGTTCGGTTTATGCAGTCACTTCGATTCTAATTTACACCCCGCAACTCAACAATAAGTAATTCGTGTCACAGTAAAACTAAGAATATCCCCGCAACTCAACAATAAGTAATTCGTGTCACAGTAAAACTAAGAATATCCCCGCAACTCAACAATAAGTAATTCGTGTCACAGTAAAACTAAGAATATCCCCGCAACTCAACAATAAGTAATTCGTGTCACAGTAAAATTAAGAATATCCCCGCAACTCAACAATAAGTAATTCGTGTCACAATAAAACTAAGAATATCCCCGCAACTCAACAATATGTAATTCGTGTCACAGTAAAACTAAGAATATCCCCGCAACAATAAGTAATTCGTGTCACAGTAAAACTAAGAATATCCCCGCAACTCAACAATAAGTAATTCGTGTCACAATAAAACTAAGAATATCCCCGCAACTCAACAATAAGTAATTCGTGTCACAATAAAACTAAGAATATCAGTCTTGTGTTACTTTAATATTATTGTTTGTACTCCGACGACATTGATTTGGGTTACAAAAACTAATTATTTGATTATTATTATTAGTGGTATAGATTAAAATATATTCCTTCACCAAGTCATAGCACTGTTTAATAATTGGTGAAAATAAATCATAATGTTGTTTAATAATTGATGGTAAGAGGTTGAAATGGATTCCTTCATCACGTCTTGTATAAACATCGTTATTTTGTTAATAATTAAGGTTAAGTTATATTAATAACCTTTTGAAATCGTGTTGTACGAGAAAAAGAAACAGAATATATATTTTTAGCAACTGAAGACATCATTTCAGCAGAGCCCCACATTGGTCACTTCTGAAAGTTCGTGTTCTCTTATAGATTATCCTTTCTATAATCTGTGTTGTTTTGTGATCAATAAGAAATGGGCAACACAATGCTTTGTTTGTTTCAGGTACGAAACAGCCGAAAAAATATTGAAGCCCACAGCCCAGTCAGCCCGACAACCCCTACTCCCCTCATGAAACAAAGCACCCAACGAAAAGACGAAATCCGATTAACTCGTATGATGCTCATCATCTTCTGTTCTTTCATCCTTTGCTTCCTTCCCTTGATGATTGTCAACGTGTTCGATAGTAAAGTGAGGTAAATTATAGATCTTTTAATTACTTCGTGTTAAATGTTTAAACTTTATAAATATTTGTACCTAATAATCTATCCTGTTCAAGATAACTTGCTGAAGATGGAATATATATTCCGAAACGTTTGGTTGGTTAGGTTTGAATTTCGTGCGGAGCTACACGAGAGCTATCTGAACTAGCCGTCCCTAATTTAGCAGTGAAAGACTAGAAGGAAGACAGCTGGTCATCGCCACCAACTCTTGGGCTACTCTTTTACCAAATAATAATATAATTGACCATAACTTTATAACGCCCCTACAGCTGAAAGGGCGAGCATGTTTGATGGGACGGGAATTCGAACCAGCGACTCTCTGATTGCGGGTCGAGCGCCCTAACCACCTGGCCATGCCGGGCCCATTCTGAAACGTTCAATAACTAAATGTTACTGTACACACACGTGTCAAACGTTCAATAATTAAATGTTACTGTA